CCAAAAAAAAAAAAAAAAAAAAAAAAAAAAAAAAAAAAAAAAAAAAAGAAACCGGGAAAAAACACTTGTAGAAATTTAAAAGTATATACAAAAGCAATGAGCTAAGTTATAGATTTTAAAAAATTGTTTGTGTTTCTAGAATCTGAGTATGCAAGATCTGCCATCTTGATCTAATCTTTCCCTAATGTTTTACACCTTTATTTTGGTTTGTATTTAAGTTGTCTGAATTATTTTTCTCAAAGAGGGCTTTTGCTAGATATATTGCCTGGGTTCCTCCGTGTTTGATGATGTATAATATAGCTTTTATACTTGGATGATAACTTAATGTGGCTCAAATTCTTAGATTACTCTTGATTACTGCCATTGGAATTGAGAATTACAGAGACAGTGAAAAAAAAATAGCCTGCTTTTTTTCTATTGTTGACATTTATAACTTCATTAGGATATATCTTGGTGTGATGCTGCGCCCATATGAAATTTTTGTTTCCAGCATGAAACTTTCTATTCTTTGACAATTTGTGGGCTGCATCATCAGGATTACCAATTATTAAGCTTTTCATCATCTATCACTCTCGTCCAATGTTCACATACTGCTACCTCCTCTGTGTCTAATCCAGGGCAATACGATAGACTAGAGGAAAACAGGTCTCATTTTAACTCATGACTCAAATCTCAAACAGGTATGCAATCCTCCCTCGACGATCCTACTATACTTCCTAGTATGTCCACACTCCCATTTTCTAAAACGACCACTACACATTGAGACACATTAGGGCCCTCTGCTACGAACCACCTGGCTGGCTGTGCCCTCATTTTCAACCTTCTGTCCTCCTCCAACAGCTGAAGTATCTTTGCTTTTTCTCAAAGGCCAACCTTTGCACTTGTACTCTGGATTGCTTTCCAAGTTTTCTCAATGCTTCCTTTTCAAGGAATGACTACCTCAGCATACATTCTCTAGTAACTTCTGTCCTAGAAAGCTCCATCTCTATTAATCATATGTTAGCCCTCCAGCTATTACCACATTTCATTATTTCCTTTCAGGCCAAAATATCTTGAAAGAATCTTCTGTGGTGATCATTTTCACTTCCTCATCTCGATTCTCTCCTTAACCCACATGCTCTGCCTGTCCACTGACACGTCCTGGAGAGGTCACCAAATCTAATTGGTGACCCGGCAGTCCCGACCTTTTCGGCACCGGCGAAGGCTCCGCGGGAGAGCTGCGCCATGGGCGGGGCAGGGACGGTCTCGGGACGATTCGAGCACCCGCGCGACGACGCGCAGTCAGCCCCTCGGGACGCTCAGCGGCGTGGCGGCCGCTCCCCGCGCGCCCGCGCTCCCGCCGCCGCGCGCGGCTCCGCGGAGGGGCCGCCCACGCGCGCAGGTCGGCTCGCTCCGCGCCCATCCCGCGGCTGCCCCCGGAGATGAGGGGCCAAGAACACAGGAAAGAGGGCACCGAACACGCGCACGCCGCCCACGCGCGCAGGT